CCGCTCTATTTTTTCCCCATCTCTGGTGCATCTGTGCCAGTTTCTCCTCTCTTGCACCGCACGCAGGCACAAGAAATGCAGTTTTTTTCCCCCCAAGCTGACATTTACAGGGAAGAGGGGAGCGAGGGGGTGGGACAGCGCGCCCGTACCTGACTGGCTGAGGAAAAAGCAGACGTCGTCTCTGAAGACAGGGGTGTTTCTGTCCAAAAAGTCGCTGGCCAGTTCAACCATAACGGGTAACTCAGTCAGTTCCTCCAGAACCTGACGGGTCTGGTAAAAGATGTCAGAAAGTTGCATATTACATCGTGTTTAAAAAAAATCAAGTGTTTGGAGCACAGAGAAAGCCTTCTACTTGTGGCACACTGGAAAATATTACTATCAAAGTACCATGTGAAAATCAGCGCTGGGTTAGATTTTAATTACTCAGCGCAGCCATACTCAAGGCACACAACTCCCCCCCTGAAAAGTGACCCTGCTTTGGCACCACAAAAAGCCTGTGAGGCCAACTCCTTCCTCACACATAGACTGGCCTTAAATGAGCCTCACCCATCATATACTGTGTATATATTTTCTATGTAATACTGGGTGTCTGTCTGTACCTTGTATTACTGAAGAGCTCAGAAGCCACCACCCGTGTCCAGACCAAGCCAGCAATCCCTTTGGGCCAGTCAATGGGCTGCTGTTACCGTTCTCTTATGGAGCTTTTCTGCTCCTTGTAAATCAGTTATCACAGCTGTTTTGCAGCATTTCTGACAGAAGCTAAAGGACTCCTCTGAGGAGTTGCAGAGTATTTTTAATTGCAACGTTATGGGCTGCCAAGCTGCCATCTAAAAAGGCTTCATCCCCCGCCATCGCATTGTGACCAACAATGAGGTCAGGTCTTGACAAAACACCATCACACACTGGTGTGTGCAGCCTCCAAAAGGGTCTTCATTCATCAGCGAGCACGTGCTCAACCTTAACCCAAAATGAATCCTTAACCTGCTCGGCACACACAGCACCGTGCCCGCCGTTCACTCCTAGCTACAGCTCACAAACAGAGTAGGACTGACCACCTACCGCAACTCCAGCGTGGTAACTCGTCCCACAGGCAATCAGGATCAAACGGCGACACCTCTGAATCTCCTTAATGTGATCCTTCAGCCCACCAAGATTTACTGTAAGAGCCAGAGAGGAAAATTAGGGTGGCCAGGTAGCAGAGACGCTCAGGATCATGGTGCTAACGCGGCGTGTTCGTATCTCCATCACACTTTGCAAAATAAAAATGACAAAAAGTCATCTTGCCACCGGTGCATGTAATTCTGAGACACGCATCTGTCTCACACCAGCGTGTTTTAATCTCCCATGTCATCACCTACTTCCTCCTCCGTAACTACTGCAAGTAACTACTGGGTGCTGAGCTGTCAACGATAAAGGAGGTTTAATCTCAATTACCAGTGTAGTCATCAAAGTTGACCCTTCCTCTCATCGTATTGACGACAGACTCTGGCTGTTCAAAAATTTCCTTCTGCATAAATGAGCTGAAGTTACCTACAAAAGAAAGAAGGAAACAAACCAAATGAGAACGCTCCAAGTTATCTCCTGGTAATTCACATTTTTCCTACGTATACAGGGAAAAGCTTGGGCCAGAGTCCCTTGGACCAGTTACCAGAGCTGGAGATGCTCCAGCCTCAACCAAACAAGGCCCATTAATGCTCTGGTCTGCTTGGCCCTGTTTCCAACGCCAGAGTTGGACCAGGCGGTCCAGGTCTTTTTCAGCCTGACTTATTCTGTGACTCCGGGGAGGACGCCTGCGCCTCCCCAGGTGACATCCAAAAGATTTTACCCTTCATAATCTGCTGAAGTTCCATCTGCAGGGTTTGCACGGCGCGCCCAGGGTGATCGCCTGCAGTGCGCTTGATCCGGTGGATGGAAAGGCGGCCATCGACCACAGCTGCTACATCATCATCCTCAAGGAAAATCACTCTGTTGGTGTGCTCGATGACAGCGCTAGAAAAGCACACACCATTGCCATAAGACGTTATTCTTCACAGAGAGATGAGAGCTACAGCCCTATTTATAATCCAACATACGGCTTCTGATTCAAGAAAGTTACTCATTTCCATGGAATTTCTTTTAAAATAAGAGGCGGGCTGTAAAGTGCCTTTCCACACCGCCAATATAACTGGATTTTTTCCACCTACCTCACTATTAATTTCAGTGCCTGCTTTAAGAAGAAACTGGAAATTCCTTGGACAAAGCTGCATGTGCAGCAATGGGATCTGACCGCGAGGAGCTGGGGAGTGCAGTAAGGATGCACGCAGGGTGTTTAACTACAGCTGTAGATTCCTGTCTTGGTTTTCCTGGTGCTAAGCCGTTGTCCCTCCCTGCACCTCATTTTCCCCATCTGTAAAAGCGGGGACAGCTTGGCCACCTGTAAAAGTGCTCTGAGATCTGTCTAGAGGCAAGAAGTGGGTAAACTCTGAGAACTGGGCACTATCCAGTACCTTCCCTGCCTGCAGTTCACTGGGGGATGTCAATACTGGCATTAGCAGTGGGGTTTAAAATCTCTGCCAGGTTTTAGTCTGCTCTCTCTCAGTTGAGCAGTGCGAGCTGCACTGAAATACATCGGCTCCTGATTTTAGCAGCTTTTGTTCTGACCTCAGGCTGGTCACCGGAAAACCCTCCAAAATCAGAACACATTGGGGTGTCCCACGACTCTCCAAAACGCTCTGACAAAAGAGCTGCAGCAGTCAACCATGGCAGGATTTTTAAACCCCAAAGCTCTGGTAAAGCTGCTGTCAAGGGAGCCTTTCCTCCCTCCACTGGGATTAAAATAAGGCAGCTTGGATGATAAAGGCTTTTGCATGGGTGGAGAGATCCCTGGAGAACCAACACAGTTCCCCTGATAACCAACATGTCCTGATCATTCTGGTCAGTTCTCTCTCCGGTTTCCTATCACTCACCTCAGGAATCTTATCACCACTATTGCAAAGTGAGTTTTCACTCCTCTAACAGGATCTCTCATCTGATCCACCTCTGCCTCTCCCAGGGCCGCATGCAGTAATTAATTAATGTTTGTAAAGCAATGCCAGTGGCCATACATACACAATTTACCGTTGTTCCTAAAGAAAACACAACCTCCTCATCTGTTTTTCAAGGCCTCAGCTTTAAACAGCGTATTTTTATATACACTAAAAGATACTGAAACCATTACCTGGCGTCAGAAGCGAAGTAGTACTCCACAGCTTTCTCCTCGACAGGGAAAAGGCAGGTGGTGCTGTCAACACGAGACAGGTTGCAGCTCCCCTTCTTGTCTTTACCTAAAAGACACCAGGATTAGGGACCGCACGGCTGGCACATCTGGAACACAGCTGCACCGTCAGCCTCAGCCAGAGGTCCCCAGGCACGGTACCAACATGAAGCACTATTTTCATCGCTGTGAGCGGTCACAGTAAATTCAGTGGTGGCAATGGATGAGGGCAGTGTGTGAGTGCTCGTATTCTTGTGCCCTTTCCCAGTTTGCTTGCAAGGTGTTTTTGTGCTTTTGAATTATGTCTGTAACGAGAGTTTTCAGTTTAGAGGAAAATATCAGTAAAAATTCAAATAAAGTTTTATGTGGCTCCCCTAGGAGAAGAGAATTCAGGCTGGTATATGAGCATTTACCAACATTTTCCTGGTTGAATCTGCCTGCTTTATCATTGTACGTTTTTCCTGTGCTCCTGTTTCACCAGCTGTCCCGAGGCTTTGAGGAACCACACAGGATTGCTCTTTCTTTGTCAGTTATTCCCAGCACCGGGTGAAATTCCTTCAGAGCTGCCACCTGAGCGGTCACACCGCTCCCCTGCGCACCAGATGAAACCCAGACCTGGTTCTGTCTGGCTGAGTTAACGTGTTCAGACACACACCAGGACATCCATGACCACATCAGCTCTAAAGCTGTGTTACGTGAACTGGGTACCAGTCTGATTCAGTGAATGGTTAAACCTGTACTTCTGTAAGTGAAAATGTAAAGAAAAAAATACTGCTTTCATGTTGATACTCAGTAAGAAGGTTCCACTCAGCCGACAGTTTAGAGCCCTCCACTGTAGTTATCGAGTCAGTAAATGAGGAAAAGAGCTCCTTTGATGCCGAGTTGAGACCAGACAGACGCATTTCTTGTTGAGGAAGGACAGAGCAGAGGTGTTAGCGGCCGTTCTCCAACAGAAGCACCCGGACTGGATCAAAGCATGCAAATTTTGTTTCTCAAAATACAGCATTTCCCTGCATTGACTTTAATATGTGGCACTGCTTTCCTGTATTACAGACTCTCCGCTGAACTGTAGCTGGAAGGTCTCACTGCACACAGACACGTGATGGATCTTGCCAAAGAGTGATCAAAAAGTTATGGTGAGTATTATCAGTCACTTATGGTCGTTATTTAGCTATGGATTTGTCCATCCACTGATCTATGGACAGCATGGATGGTTGCTCTGCAGCACCTTCCTCCCGTTCACCAGAATTTAGAAACCACACAGAAGCAATCTTTTAACCTTTTCCTTTCTAAATCAAAGAATGGAGATGCTTGGAGAATTAACACAGGTACAGTAAAAACTGGGCAGGGGGCTGAGGGGTTGGGATGCTTTGGGTATATTTTGGTATCACCATCACGGCGATCCTAAGCCCGTGGTGGCTCTGCAGGGCACTGCAGCGCACGTTAATGCAGCTGCTGCTGAACGGGCTCTTCCACGCTTACTTCACATTAAAGTTTTGATTCCTGCAAGAGCAGTTTTCAGATGACAGCACTGTAAACTAATGACACCGACACTCAGATCCACATGTTTCACACGGTCCATCGTGCAGAGAGCCTTAGTGCTGCTAAAAGCCCAGGGACTTTGTTTCCTAAAGCCCCTGGGAATTGACTGGACCTCAGGATTTACTCTGAACACTTCACACTGACTTAGAGAGAGGTTTGGTAAAGAGAAACACAACCTCATGTCTGGATTCAGGTGAACCAGAGAACAAACACAGCTCCCCTTTCCACAAAGCGAGGTTTGCTTCTCCTCGCCCAGATTTCACCCACGGAGCTGTCAGTGCCTGGGGCTGGAATCCCATTTATTTACAGCATAAATAATGACTACAAATAATCCCAATAATACAAATCAGAGCCTTTCCTCTTACCGAAAAGCGCTCTCCTGCTTCAGACCTGAACTCAGTTCCTGACTTGGCACCCCATGGGTCAGCCTTTACAAAAATTAAATACTTGATGCAAATTAGAAATGGTTCACCCTGGCAAATGAGCAAAGGGAAGGAGGTTCCAGCCCCAGACCAACCTCACCACTTCTGCCAGAGGCTGCGATTCAGCCTCACACTTCGATCCAGGGGGAGGACGTGGCTCTTTGACCTGAACTCCAGAAGGGATTTTGGGAATGCTTGCGTTGGGATTACTTGCAGCCTCTTAACAGGGTTTCATTCCAGAGTTCTGTGGGTTTTTTTAAGGTAATTTACCATTTCTTTCTGTAATCAGAGCTGCAGGCAGCACAACCTGCACCAAGCCATCGATTTTGTGTGCTGAGCACTGAATCAGAATTTTTGGCATGGGATGGGGGATTTTCCTGTGTGTTGCTCACGGTGTTTCTGACCAAGAAGGAATTCTGATTACCCCATTTGTTTCACATTACACTACACGGAAAGCAACAACCACATATTAAAGAGACAACGCGGATTGGTCTCATTTGTGATTCCTTTCCTAAGGAAGTGGAGGATTTGTCTGAAATGTCAAGTATTAGGTTTTCTCTGGTAGGCACCTTCCTCCATTTTTATGGATATTCCATCAAAAGAATGATCCATAGATTGTACAGCTGAAAGTGTAATTGGAAAAAAAATAAACTTCAGATAATCAACAAAAAAAAAAGGTTACATACTTTTACGTACACACAATTAAGGATTACTGCTAATTATCCAGCATCAACCAAGAGCCAACACAGACAAAGCTCCCTGGGGCCGGTTCTTCGCGTTAATTGGCAGCGGTATCGTCAGCAGCAGGACTCGCTGCAGCAGCAAGGCCCTTTGGTCACTGCAGGGCTCAGAGACCGAGCCCAGTGCCCCATAACTGAGTGAGTTCAGGCTCCTCTGACAATGGGAAATTAAGGGCAATTCTAAGGCACTTTTCATTTTCAAGGGTGCAACTACGTGTGTACAGCGGCAAAACACGGGTGTGAGAGAGCCGGACACACAGCAACACCACAGATTGCACACAGAGGGGAACTGCTTTCTAGAAGTGCTGCTGGGGCAGGGGAAGGGTTTGTGGTAGTGAAAAGCACAACCCAGTCCGTGAATGCTTACGTACCTGAGTATCTAAGTAACTTACTGTGAACTTTACTACACTGAACTGTTTATGCAGTTCAGTTCCTACTGCACAGGAGAATATTGCTCTTCTTCTGCTGTTCTACTATGCATATTCTACTGTGTTTTCCTTGCAACCACTGGTCATTAAAGCTTTGATTATAAGACCAGAGACTGACTCGAGGAATATGGTAGTACAGCATGTGGGGGTAGTTAGAGGGGGGTGGTTAGTAGGTCGAGAGAGGT